TGCGACAAATAGACTTATTAAATGTGCCAAAAAATCTTTAAACATCTAGTTTTTAATATTTTTCCCTATAAATCAGAGAAAAATGTTACATTATGATGCCCCAAATATAGGTTCTTTGGTAATTTCAATATGTGTATCCAGGTTTGGAAAAGAAATTTTAAAAAAAATAATCCGTCTTGTATTTTTTCTACATTGTTTGATTTGAACGCGCGGTGCAGTGTGGGACTCGTCAATTATCAAAAATAAGGATATCTTTTTCAATCTTGATCAGACTAAAGTTTAAAGGGGTTCGTTGTAAATTGTAAATGTCACACATTTGAGCTATACAGTCTCTTTACAGTCTCTTTACAGTCTCTTTACAGTCTCTTTACAGTCTCTTTACAGTCTTTTTAGATGCAGGTTAGTTTGAAGAAATCTGGTTCCCTCTGTCTAGCCCCTACTTGTTGAAGAAATAACATGTGATTAAGATCTCAATCAAGAGAATTCCAACAAGACTGAAATTACTGTTAAAATGAATGATAAATGAAAACAATAATTAACATGTTCCTCAGCTGAGGCTCAGCTGAGGAACACCAAGAGATTAATGTCTTCTGCCAGATTTTCATATCTTTACTTTAACCCATCCTTTAACTTCATAATAGAGCTGATCAGTCTTTTTCACAAGAGCAACATCAAAAGCTTTGTCTCATCAAGAAAGAATAAGATTTCTATATTTAAAGATCTANACCACCTATTATTGAATTCCAGTGGTAGGTACTGCATCTAATAGCTGTGTTAATGGTTAGCGATGAATATATCAATCTTGATCATCTCAGCTAGACCATCCTTAGGCTTGCACTTGCAGCGTGCCCAAATAATCATTGGAATAAAATTGGAATTTAAGTGCGGCAGAAACTCGAGATTGCACTAATCCTGGGATTTCCAAAGTGTGGTCTTTATAGGCAATGACTTATTCAAAACAAATAACAATATAAATTAACAATTCCCAAAAAGGATAAGCCTTGTGAGACGTAAAGGAATGGGCATTATTTTGAGGTTCGTTTTTTTGCTTTGAAGAAGAGATGTTAGACAAATAGAGCAATCCAGCTTTTTAAATTTTTCCTTTTTTACATTTTTTACATTATTTCAGCCATCGTACAGCTGTATTTCAGATTCAACATGTACTCTCGTAATGCAGAGATGGGGCATTTTTGTACACACTGTATAAGTACAATGCATGTATGATGTACACGGAGAAATTTATTGATTGAATCATTACAAATTTTCCAGCAATTTGAGAGAAAGAAAATTACAGTTATTTTCCACGGAACCGAGCAGACCTAGTTGATCTTTCAACCCCCACACACGGACTTATGAGCCCTGGAACAACCCTCAAGTTCGGAACTCTTCAGACCCTAGACCCTATATAACCTTTTTTATTAATTTTATCCTTTAATCGCTTGACACATTTAGATCATAGTTTCAAGAATCAAACTTAACACTTGACACATTTAGATCATAGTTTCAAGAATCAAACTTAACACTTGACATATTATGATCATAGTTTCAAGAATCAAACTTAACACTTGACATATTATGGTTTCAAGAATCAAACTTAACACTTGACACATTTAGATCATAGTTTCAAGAATCAAACTTAACACTTGACATATTTTGATCATAGTTTCAAGAATTGAACTTGACCCTTTTTTGTCAGACGTAGACCTAAAATCTCTTGGGCTTGATATTTGCATATATAGTGATGGCCAAAAAACATTGGTTTTACTTCCGTCTGTTTTTTTAATTAAATTTGAATTTTATAATAAAATTTTTACTGATTTATTTATAAAAATGTGCACTAAGCATTTCCAAAAACATAATTATAATTTCTACAAGATAAAGAATCTTTTTGCACAAATTATCTGCTTTTTGAGTGAAAGAAATTGAGCCGCGGCTCAAACTTGGTTCGTTCCACTGAAAATTTTATTCAGTGTTTCGAGATCAAAATGGAATCGGTTTTTGACGGTTCAGCGACGCGGTTTGAATTCATTAAATTCGGCCTCTGCCTTCTTTGGAATATTGGGCATTCTGATCTATAGATTTTGATCTATAATTTCAAGAACCAAACTCGTCAGATTTCTTTTTAGATACTTTAAACCTTTTTTGTAGAAGACTTTTTATGCAGAGGTACCCATAAAATAGTGGATTCACTTTCATCTACTTTTCATTCAAGTTTAAAGGGTTTAAAGTGTTTTGGTTATCACTGTATGAGACCTATGAATATATTGATAAACATATTCAAGTGTTTAAAACTAGATAATTTTTTTACAACAAACTTCGTTGTATATAATACATTGCAAAAATGGGACTGTACTTACTGAAGACGACTTTGAATGGTAAAAGATAAGCCTCTAAGTATTAGCATGATACTAACAAACAACCAATAGAACAAGTGTCAGACAGCAAATTCGTAAAATGTGTCAACATGTGAAAGGATTACATTTATTGCTAAGGCATATACAGTGTTACCCATAAAAAGGATGAAACTTGATGACGACCTGACACTTGTAAAATGCGCTGATTTGACGGTTAACTTCAATATACTTTTTTAAGTAACGTTAATGATTTAAATGTGAAAGAAACAAGTTTACAGCAGCCGGGAACCATAAATATAAAAAATAACTCTTCACATTTCTGAAGTCTCATTCTTTGGTGAAAATTACCAAGTTTTCTTTACCGACAACATGCCGACAACTAAGTTTCTTGTTCTTTTTTTTACCGACAACTAAGTTTCTTGTTCTTTTTTTTTAAGGATAAGTATTAAGTATGAACGTTATCGGTAAGTATTACTTAGTAATATCCATGCTCGGATAAATCCATGGGATTTTTATAAAACTAAAAGTTATTCCAGGGTCCATTAATGTGCATAAGTGGGAGATTTCAATGCTTCGGCCTGAAAATGTTTCTAGGCAAGATTGAGCGCGGCGCCTGAGATTGCGCGCTTTGAGAGTTGGACCCCCCGCACATTCCATGATTCGGCCAAGCACATAATTTTTCCAGCTTAACTCTTATATCAATATAGGAGATTTCAATCTTCAACCTCAACATGCATTCAACTCAACAGGAGTTAAATTAAAGGTTATTTCTTGATTAGCATAGTATACAATACTAGGCGTCCGGGGCGCTTCGCGTCCATCTTTGATTTTAACTTTTAATTGTATATTAGGAATAGCCATCTTTACATGGAGGGTTACCTAAAAGTGCACTTACAGTCCCTTTAAAGTCACACAATCTTCATGTGAATTACGCTTTTAGTCAGATAGGTATCAGGGATAAATGTATATCTTCTGTTATGCTTATTGGGTCCCCTTGTATTTCCCTTTTAACTAATAATCAGCCTTTTCTATCGTTAGTTCTCTCTCCTGTCCTAACCCATCAATTTCATAGTTTACCTAATTACCCGTGGAGTTGAATAATGCACACGGAAGGAGAATATATAGATTATTTACAAGATAAATGAATCCTAGAGATAAGACAGAAGTTTGAGGGACAACCCTTCCGTTATAGATTCATATAGATAATGCAGNATCCGCCCATGGATCAGCTCCATATCAACCCAACCAACTACATTTGATAATTAACAACAATGGTGTCCTCGCAATAATATTTCCAAAATTAAAGGGTGGTCAAGTAAAAAAAAATAAAACAATTGGCAAAGGCACATATTTAATCTATTTAATGGTGATCATATTAAGTGCATCTGATGTTAGGTTGTTAAAAAACAAATAGTTTTACCAGTCGCTAGTGGTAGAGTACTTGAACGTGATTTACAGGATGAAAGAGGGTGGTTACAGGAGCAAAGGTGATTTACAGGATGAAAGAGGATGGTTACTGGAGCAAGAATGAAGCTCTAGCTCATATATCAACCAAACCTAACAAAGTTAGGATGTAAAATCTCCAGATTGCCATCTCCCAGCCACCTAGGTTCATTCGATAATTATATAAACATTCTCAAACCAGTTTCCTAATCAAGTGCCTTAAACACGAGAAGTCTTTCCATTTTTTCTAATTTTAGACGAGAAGTCTTTTTCAATCTTAGATGAGAAATCTTATATTTAAAAAGTCTTTGTCAGATATAAACGATTCTATGGCCAAATCAAGATCTCAGAATTGTTGAAAAATGTTACTAATCCAAATTTACGCTGAAAGAGAGAGTAGAATGCAAGAAGCATTTTGTAAATATTTGTATATGTTATCACTCATATATCCATATATTTGATATTTTTCTGTTTAATAGAAGTTTGAAAAAAAAGAAAATCAATTTATTAAGTGAATACGTTTATCAATATCTATATGGAAGATCTTTCCCGGAAGACTCTTTGGGGGAGGTTTGGAAGCCCTATGGGGACGCCCAATGCCGCAAAAAAGCTGTGCTGGGGATGTTGCCTGCCCTCCCTCCTAGTGCACTATGCATAATCACTGTACACTGTACAGCAGCGCTATGATTGCTGTATATGTATTTATTGAACTATTTTCACTATTCCTTAAGATCTAAGGTTCTTCTTTTCCATATCATAAAAAGCTTTGCTTTAGTTAGACCAAAATCTGTATCCAATCCGAAAACACAGGACCCTCTAAACTTATCTGATCAGTAATGTGGAAGATATTGTCGATTTTACAGGTTTAGAATTGTTTACATAGTTCTAATAATTCCTCCAAGTTTTATTGCAGTAAATCGCTTTTGTATGGAGAAACCACAATTGAAAATAATCAGTTCTCAATGGTTTAAACATTGATATCTCTATTTCATGTCGGAGGGTCACTTGAAATTACGTTTACAATAAAGAAATTTATAAATTATAGAGCATGTTTTAAATCTTTCAAGCTGTATTACAATACCAAATTACAATCATTAATGGAAAGATATTTTGTGTTGTTGATCCCCACATTCAAAAGTTCCCACAATGGATATCGAAATCGAGCACTGCAGATACGCACTATTTCACCTCAGGTCTCGCAGGAAACAGAAGACATTTTATTTAGATAAATTGACAAACATTACATTTATTTATTTTACTTTCAAAGGGACAACTCCCCAAAAGAGATTGAGAAAAAGCAATAGACATAAATATTTTATCGCCATGTTGTATATTTAAGCCGATGATTAAACTCTGATTGTCTTCCTGCCGACACCCAGTGATTTTCTTCTATTGAACAGGAAAGTTGTTAAGGGTAGGAAATGGTCCTAAATTAAAAAGATTTTTTAACCTTAAAGAGACTGTAAGCTTAATTTTGAAGAACTCTCTTGCCCATATTGAAATGACCGTTTTAGAATCCCCTTAAAAGCTTTGTCTGATAAAGAACGAATATTGTATCAATATTGGTAGTTTTGAAAAATGATATTTTTAATCGTGGTTGATCTAGTGACTTGCGCACTTTTATTACAAAAAAAGGAATCAGAATAAAGTATTTTTAAACCTGGGGAAATGACGATATTTCTAACAAGAGTGCTCTGATAAAGATTTTTATGTTACCGTTGTGAATCGGGCATTACCATCTTAGCAAGGAGGATCACTTGAAATAACGCTTACATCCCCTTTAAACAATTCACGGCGTCCAAAATGAAACATAGAAACACGGAAATTTGAAATTTTAAGATACTTTAAATTAATCTGCAGCCAAGGACTCCTTGGATTTATAAATATCCGCCATATTTGGAAAAAACTGATCTCACTGTTGAACATTCGAGTTTTTACCTCAAATATTTCTCTCTTATTCCGGCTCCGGCACAGCTTATCAGACTATAAAAAGTTATTTTTTATAATCCATAGCATAGTTTATATAATAACATTACATATAGAACACTAGATGTCGTCTTTTCAATATTGAGGATTTTTCGTTAACAATATCCCTGAGACAGAAGACCAAATAAGTTACCCGCATGCCGCGTTGAATTACTTGACATAGAAATAGCATGCGTACAATTCCTTTGGGCCTCTGCCTTAGGGTTATTGAATGAAAAACCGCTAAATCTTCTGTAAATCATTAAACTATGATCCATATATTAACATGGTTATAGTTACTACAATTTAAATGCTATTTCTTAATATGTCTTTCAACAATTAATGGGAAAATTATAGTTAGATATTTTGCACACCCCGTGCGGTAAAATGATATCCTCCTCCTTTTAAATACATGTTTGCGATATATCAACAGTAGCTATATTTAATATTATTATCTCACAGAGTGAAATATATCATAATTTTAATCAGCGGCAAACAATAAAAACAAAGAAATTAAGTCTAAATCTATATTTTACATAAAAAGTTTTAATAAATATTCATCCCATGACAAAATCAAGTAGATGTTGATGCATAGGTCCAAACGGAAACTTTGCGAGTTTGTCAATCATGAGGGTGATGGCATAGTTGCGGAGCTCGACAAGCTTCCTCATCTTGTACTCCACCTAGAGTAGGATACACGTGAGAAGGGGGTTAACCCAGTCCCCAGACTAACTTACTTTATAACAGTGGAGAGACGGTAGGTATCCTAGTAGCCAGTTATCTAAAGAAAAAATGCCAATATTATTAATTCACACAAATTGCAAGTCAAAGTAACAGTGACAGTCAATTGTACTTAATAAACATTTAATTTGCGAAAATGATTACAGAAAAAAGTCTCACAGCCAAGTTTGATTAAAAAGGCCTCACTATGAAAGTATAAAATATAGATTTAGACTCAAACTGAAAGATTCTTACCGCTCTTCTGCGTCGAGAAATGATAGTAGAGATCAGATCTTGCTCCGACTGAGCTGCTTGTTTAGCCTTCAGATCCATCTCAGCCTTCTTTCTGGAGAGGAGATCACCTACAGGTGTAACAGCAGCAGTGGTTGCTGGAGTATATCTGGGAGCTTGAGGAGTAGAGACAGGAGAGTCGGGGACAAAGCTTCCAATCTTGATATCAACAATATCCTCAGGGGACTGAAATAACGAGAAATCAGAACATAAGGCACTGGTATATTTCATGAACAGGAAACATTTCAACTTTTACCCGTTGTCTTTTTAATTATTTTTCCCAATTAAAAGAAAAAAAAACAAATTAAAATCTGAGAAATGGTTTCCAATAAATGCCAAACTACAACCCAAGTCAAACCCACAAGACCGAACTTGCGAATATTTTTTTTACTAACCACATTTGTTTGCATTTTAGTTGTTTCCATTCTAACACAAAATCAACCAAGGAACAAAAACAGAAACAGTATTACCAAGTCAATGTTTTAAGCGTTCGCAAGCTAGCCTAGTGACTGACCTCAAGAACGCTGTGTAGAGCAATAAATCCAAGAGGTCCAAGTTTGTTAGGAAGACCAAGAAGATACATCTTTACATTATCCTCAAGGGTGAATCCATCCTCGTCAGCGTTCAGCTTCACAGCCAAACCAGGAACACGGGCCAACTGAAAAACCATAATTTAAATTAATTTGAATCATGCAAATAACAATAGGGGTGTACATTTTCATGTTCATGAACTAATGAAGTTATATTCCCGGAATTGGAAGAGATTTTCACACAAAAATATTTCCCCCCTGAGGCTTCTGAAAAGCACACCCCTGACGCAAATAGTAAAAAGAGTTTGAGAAGAATCAACCCCCCCCCCCCCC